TTGGGACAGAGACAAGAGGCACCAGATGATGGAGAGGTGGGGCTCAGAGACAATGTGGTGACTGCATTGTGGTCTCAATGCATCACCAGCCTAAGCATTGGAAAACCTTGCAAAATGGCCTGCTCCAACCCCAGATCCGTGGCCTGAGCCCATCTCTGCTCAGCTGCTGGCAGGCCCTGGCTGGACAGGTCCCTCGGAGCGATGGCTTTTGTCCCTGCAGCATCTGTCCCTGCTTCACATCTCACCCCTCTTGGCTTTCCAACAAGGGTCGGACACTTGAGCCAAGGGATGCGGGATCTTTAACCATCACAGAGAGCTTCGGTAGGATCTCTGGGGCTGGGTGACAGGCTGGGGCTGCTGCTGGCACTTGCAGTTTCAGGGAGTGTTGGTATCTCACCCCGGTGTTTAATAGTGCTGCTGTTGGGTTGGGGATTCAGGGCAGGCAGAGGGGCTGCTGTTGGAGCAGAGCCAGTGCCTGCCATGTGCAGAGCCCATTGGTATTATATGAAGAGATGGCGCTGCCCTGACTCTGAAACCAGCAATGTTTCACGCGGGAGAGCTGCAACAGCGGCAGCCTTGGGTTGATTGCTCACTGCTGCATGGAAGGTCACCGGCTCTGGTAAGACACCTGCTGAGCCTGGGAGCCCATTGCCCAGCCTGGCAGACAGGATTCATTAACGCCAGAGGGGATTGTGTTTGCGGGGAGGGGAGGTAGGTTACTAGAGGACAGACGGGCGCTGGTGGATCCATTCGGACCCAGCCAATCTATTCCTGCCCAGGACCTTTGCCCTGGGGTTGGTGGATGCAGGGCAGCTTTGCAAGCAATCTCGCTTTCCCAGTCCCTTCTCCTTTTTGCAGCATGACGCTCTCTGACCAGTCTGGCTCTGATTGGCATGGAGGGAGCTGGGATGCTGCTTTGTCCTCCAGGTGAATCCAGGGGTGATGGCTCGAGCGTGGCCTGGACAAATGACATTCACTGCTCTTCTGCTCTCACTCATTGCCCCTGGGACCAGCCCAGACTCAAGAGCAACCGCCTTGGCTGCAGCAGGCTCAGCCCCTGGTCTCTGTGCAGTGCTTCTCCTCTTTCAGCCCCTGCCACCAGCAAGGGGCCAGTGGGCTCCCACGGGCCACTAGGATGTGGTGATACGGATGCTGGTCCATTATGACGAGCCACATCTTGGTCCAGGTAAGCCACCAGGCAGGATCTGTTATAATCTTCCTGATTCTTGGCTAACAGGTGCTCACGACCCTACTTGAAAAGCCTTTGTTCCATCTGCTGTTTAGCTCAGCTGTGTCTGCTTCTGCCTCAGAGGCCTGAGGAAGGGGACTGTGATACCTAAAAGTTTGCCTGTCTACAGCAACCATCAAGTTGGTCCAATCAAAGAGATCACCCACAAGATTTGCCTCTTGCATATGTCCTGGACCATCACAGCAACATCATCGCCTCAACACTACTGTTCCCCTTCCTTGTTTGCCCAGGTGGACAAGAGCAGAAGGGCCAGATTGGTCCATTTCCTGCGGCCAAGGCATGGTCTTGCAGGCGATCTATTCTCCAGCACCTCATCCAGGCCACTTAGCTGAGCCAAACTTTGCACTTTCCACTTCCTGCCAGACCCTGGCATAACAGACCTCAGCATTTCCCTTCACCCAACATGTACAGAGGGTTTCTGATCCAAGAGTCAGGAGCTCTTAGCAGGAGCTGGTCTCAGGTACAGCAGGGAAAGGTCTTTAATTTCTAAAGTCTACAAGTGTCTTACCGCTCACGTTCAGGCCTAAACAGACTATTACGGCCATCCAATGAATAACCCAAGGCAGAGTTTCACCTGGTGGTTCCTCCACCAAGCCTTGTACATCACCGGCTTTGCCTCGGGCCCTGGCTCAGGTGGACCTCCACGGGAAGGGTCTTTCCAGGTAAGATGTGAGCTGCGTAGCAGAGGGTGAGACCTGGTCTGTTCACAGAGAAGATGCCTGGGCTGTTTTTACAACCACAGCTGACCCTGAGAAATGGAGGGCCCACTGCAAAAAACAGACTCAGACCGGACAGAAATGTGATCTGTGCTCGAATTGCAAGCCGGTTTTTTGTGCCTGTTGTTACGGCACCAGACGCATAATACATACGTTGATGCTGATTTTGACAGCCACGCTGAAAAGCGCCAGCTGCCTCGGTCTGATTTAAAATAATAACAATAATAATCATCATCATTTCCTTAAATATCTGATTTAGCAGCAAACATTTCACAGTGGTGGGAGCCGGGATGGAGGAGATGCAACCCAACCCCCCTGGAGAATCATTGACCCACTCTTCAGTACTAACGCTGCTGCAGATTTACAGCCCTGTTAGAGATTTACAGGCCTCATCCACCCACCTGATGGGAGCGGTTC